GAAAAAACGCATGTCTACACTGTGGACTATCCTGAGGCAAATATCTACTGTAAAATTCCTGTATTAATTCCTCGGGTTTAAACCCAAACTTCTGATACATAAGCATAGCTGGATTTGTGACGGAAACATGAAGTGTGACGTCCTTCCCCATACACGTTTGAATCAAGTGATAAATCATATAGGTTCCAATCCCTCCGCGGCGCCACTCGGGATGGACCAGTACAAACGAGATGTAAGCCTCGTTATAGTTTACATCGGGGACCATAAACGCAAAACCAATAACGAATTTTCTAAAATAAACGGGAACAGCTGATTAGATGAATTCGAGAAATTTGTCCCTGTTTTTCTTTTTCTCTCTCTCTTTTTTGTTTGTTTGTTTGTATGTTTGTTTGCCTTTCTTACGCATGGTCGCACTTTCATGTTTATTTTGTCCGTCATCGTTCCGATCATCACTTGTAATCACCCACACCTTGAAATTGCCTTCAACCTATCACAATCTATCGCAAAAAATAACGAAGACACCCCCTCCCTTATTTGTCTACGTCATTAATACGTTACTTTACTGTGCTTCAAATTCTCACATGAGAGATTTCAATCAAATTTAAAAGAAGAAATACCCGCCCGTCTGGTTGTTCTTGACGTACAAGAGTTGGCGCATGTCTGTGCTCACAAAAGGCACGCCACATTGTTTTATTAAGTAACCGATACCTCGTATCTGTTACATGGTACGTGACATAATCATCCTTTTCCCTACCCCTCTCCCGTGATTGAGTGAATTATGAGTACAACCGCACTCGAAACAGTGGAAAACCGTAAATAAACATGTGAGGCAAAACTAGCTTATGAGCTTAAAGGCTCATCTCCCCCCCCCCTCTGCTACCAAGATCTCGCCAGGTGATCGTGATAGTTTGCTGGTACCCATTTACACTCCTGTGTGAAGAGAGGCACTGTGAGGGAAGTGAGCTCTTGAGCGCAAGAACAAATCACAGTGACCCAGCCAGGACTTGAACCCAGATTTATCGACCACTCACATACTGCATTGGATTAATAGGAAAGGGATTTTAAATCCCACTTAACCAACGAGAAGCCACAAGAACAACTGGCAAAAGAGTCAAGGTGAAATAAAAAATGATACCCATTGATTGTGGTACTCAAGCGAAAAACTAGTGCAGGACTACTTACTTATAAAGAACTACACAACTGAAATCAGGGTACTGGAGACACTCCGACACTAAGGAGAAACAAAAATACAGAATATTACAAAAAGTCACTGGTTATTCTTGTAAAGAGTGTTGGAGAAAGCGTTAACGTTCGATGAATGACTATACCTTAGAGATATCTGAAAGCACGGCAATGACTGTTAGAATATCAAATAAAAAATTCTTTCATGTCACATGTACCACTTACTATGGCTTCGTCCACTCACGCACAAGTAAGAACTGCCTTTTATCAAATCTCTCAGTTTGAAAGTGCGCTATGATCGATCAGTACATAACTGCACGCCCCGCTAAATTCAAAAGTTTGTTTCAATTGAAATACTCCTCCTCTATGTGAATCCGGAGATAAAATAAATATCTTACTAGCCTCGTTTTCTCGGTCCGTACTTTAAGTTAACACCTGACCCCGTTTTTCCAGTCAGATTTATGTTTCACGCGAAAAACTCGGTTCGTAACTTAAAGTATGGACCTCGCACTCCGTAAGTACGAGATATGTAAACCATAATAATCAGGAACACAAAAATACGTGCACAATAAATTTCAACTCAAGAGTTACAGTGTAGTATCAAAGACATACGTTAAACTTCTCGAGAAGATTCGGCTGACACCATCAGTACTATATGGAAATCCTATTTTATAACTATCATTTGAATTGTCACTCAACATTGTTTTACATGCCCTTGCAAAAAGTCCGAAGCTGCTTATAACCAGTAAAAACAACATTCAAGAATGTCAGTTTGGTTTGAAACAGCATGCAACACAAAACGGATTTAAACAGAGAACAACTCACAGTCAATTCCTGGCCAGAAAAATTCCCGACACATTGCATTCACGGATGGAATATGGTGCGGCTGTACATAGCAGTAATCAATGGGAGAAACTTGTGTTGGCTTCCACCCAGGATCATTCCTGAACGAATAGACACACTGTTAGAGTCGTCAC